CATAAAGTTTCTGGAGCTCATGATCAGGCCTGTTGCCCCTCCATTCAGGGTTGTGCTTCAGGTATTGATCGATCTTGACAGCATCTTCCGCCAAGTAGGTGCCCTTGCCAAACAGACCCCTTGGAAAGATGCGGGTCCAGGCCTTCAAAGAGGATTCCGTGCCTAGGTCGGCTCAGGGTGTTGCCCTGGAGGCCCCTGCCCGTGGAGCAGGAGCAACGTGCCGTTTGTCAAGTCGAAAATGCTCGTATGGGGGTCTCCATAGTATCAAAAGCGGCACGAGGCAAAAAAATGGCTGCGGCGAGAACGGCAAGCAAGGTTCGCAAGCCTGTGGCATGACACGAGCTGTACCAAAGCCTCTCACAAGCGTTCCCTGCAGGCTACGGCCCAAGTGCACAAACTGCATCTGCTGAGAATTCTGTTTTGAGCGCAATCAACAGCAACTCCAGCCGCGACCGCGCGCTCATTGGCGCGGACGCGACACGCAAAAGTCATGGACGCGCTCCGCGCCGACTCGAGTATCCGGCTCCCTGCAACGCGTCAGAAGATTTGAGAGCCAGTGAAAACCTATTCATCGAAAGCTCGAACATGCTGCCGCTCAGATGCCAGAGGCAGGGGTGAAATGGCGCCGCGTCAGGTGGCCCAGGAAGCGCCAGTCCTTGTCATGCTGCACCCGGGACAGCGCCACGTAGGCGGCGGCCTCGACGTTTGGCACATCCAGCCACAGGGTGATATGCTGCAATGTGGCACCCTGGACCTTCATGAGAGTGACCGCGTAGCCCAGCCGCAGAGGCAAGTAGGTGGCCCGCCGCTGCTGTCCGTGAATGACGATCTCGTCGTCCGTGTAGGGGAAGACGGAGAGCACGTTGCCGCATTGGGTTCGGACCAAGACGGAATTGCGCTGAACGCCCAGCACCGTGCAGCTCATCCCGTTGACGAAATTTTGCTCCTTCTGCAGATTGCAGGTCAGCGTGACCCGCATGCCCTGGTAGATGGGAACCTGCAGGGGCTCGCAGTCCACGAGCTGGCCGGCGTGATCGTAGTTGCCGACGTTGCTCTCGTAGTCGCCCGGCACATAGCAAAGCGGGGCCGCGTCGGCGTAGAGAGCTTGCACGGCCAAGTCGTTCAGGAGGGCGGCGCTGCGGCGAGTGATGGTCAGGAAAAGGGTCTGCGGGGTCTCATGAAGGATGTCCTGCATGTCCAGCTCGGTGGGTTCGGGACTGACGCCGGGCCCACGATCCGGCATGGCCCGGTGCCCACGGAGGATGCGCAGCAGCTGCTCCCGATCCGGCTTCGCAGTCCAGCTTCCAGCGCAGATCCGGGCACTTGCAGCGCCGCATGGTGCGCAGATGCCGCACCACAAATTGCTGCCAACGGGGGCTGTTGCACGCGCGAGTGCTGTCCATGCCCCGAAGCTGGTGGAAGGCGCTCCACGGTGTGCTGTGACAGCTGGCCCACCTCGTCGATGACCACCATGTCAATGCAAAACATGCAGTCCCAGGTTTGCTCCTGTGGAAGGTGGAGAAGGAACACGCCGTGCAGAGTGTCCACGTCCAAAAGCCGGGGAACTTGACGCGGTAAGCGCTGGCCAGCATCCCAGTGGGGCACGCAATGCCCACGTGCGCCCCAGCTTCCGCCGCTCAACGGATGGCTACTTCCACGGCCGTGCTCTTGCCAGAACCTGCAGGCCCCAGCATGCAGAAAGGGCGGGCGACCTGAGCGCGCGCGGTGTGCAGCTGCCGGACGAAAGTCTGCATGGCATCCGGGTCCGCATCCTCGGGGTAGCGCTGCTGCAGCGCCATGTTGACCATCGTCCGCACGTGCTCCACAACCACTGCCTGCTCTGGGCCCAGCTCACCGCGGTACCCGACCTCCGGCGCATGGAGAAAGTAGTCGGGCAGCGGTAGGCCGTGGTTGTCCAGCGAGAGGTCCCCGGCCAGGTAGGCGTCGATGACCCCGGTACAACTCTCCAGCATGCTCAGGACGTTCGAGATGTGAGCGTCGCGGTAGCCCTCCAACTGCAGCTCGGCCTGGACGTCGTGAGGGCGGCGCCAGAAGCCCGGACGTTTCAAAAGGCAGAGCGCCAACATGCGATAACCTTCTGAAACAGCAAGAACACGTCCGTCCCAGAGCTCGTCAATGGTGCGGAAGGGCACATTCAAGAGGAGCCACTGCCCGAAGAAGCTCTCCTGGTAGGGAGTCCATCGCGGCGGCCACGAGCACGCGGCGCTGATTCTTACGCTTCTCGCCGGCTTCGGTGCACAGCCGCAGAAACTGGAGCAGCGTGCAGTCCTCGGAGCACCAGGCAGAAGCCATGCACAGCTGCTCCCACCGCGTTGGCTGGAACCCTCGCCACGGAGGGCGGAGCACGACCCGTCGCAGGATGCCGGTCTGCAACAAATGCCGGAACCGCTGACCCCCCGGCTGCAGCCACACTTCGGGTTCCAAGGGGTGATACTCCATGAGCACTTTCCTGGCCAGCTGAAAATCGGTCGCCTCCTCGTTGGGCCAACTCGTGGCGAACTGGTCGCTGAACTTCGCAGTGTAGGTGGAGGAGTACTGCAAGGCAACCCGCGGCCATCGCCCATCTGCACGTCCATGTGGCACTGGAGCGCCTGGAGAACATCCGGCAGGTAGGCGCGGACGTGGGCTGCGTGGGCATCTGCAGAATGGTGAAGACGCAACAGCCGGGCCTCGGCGTCATACTCCGCGGGGCCGTTCCGCAGGGCCCAGGCACTGCGCTCCCAGTCGAGCTGAGAGCCGTTGACGAGGTCGCGCAGCTGGTTCGGTCTCCGGGTTCGGGATGTCGGCCCAGATAATGCGAGGCCAGTCGACGTGCTCGCAGTTCTTCAACCAGACGAGCAAGTGGAGGTGCACACGACCTGAGCCGTGGTAGGACTGGGCGGGCCCCAAGTGGCGCTTCCTCTTCCCGTCTTGAAATTCCAGGCGCCCGAAGCCCTCGGCGATCGCTACTCTGCTGCTTGTTGGTGCCAGCAAGGAGGCCCTCCGCTACTTGAAAGAGGAGATGGGCCAGGTGGAATGTTTCTGCTGCTGGTAGGTGTGTGCGGGAGCGGCAGGCTTTGCGGAGCTCGTCCTCCAGCCAACGGTGGTACGGCGCCGACATCTCCAAGGGCGCGATGGTGATGAAAAGGCTGAAGAACCCAATCTGGCGGGCGCAGTCGACGAGGCCAGCATGCATGTTGCGCCAACACAAGGGCGAGAAGGATCGTCCAGCCAAAGCGCCCCGAAGAGACGTGGGTGCCGCATTCCGCGCACCGCCCAGGGAGCTCCAAAGCCAAAGATCGTACACGAACTGGGCGAGGGTGGGTTGGCGCCGTAACCGATGATCGGAGAGAAAACCTTCGCCATGAAACTGGCCTTGGCGCTCTGGCGGGCCTCCTTCACCTCCGCTTCGTGGCCGTCGCCAGCGGGCTCCTCGTCCTCGGTGTTGGCATTCTCGGCACTCCTGTGCCTCATCCAGCTGCGCGTCCATCTGCCCGGGGTCGTCCTGCTGCGCGTCAGCGTTCCCGCCCTTGACCGTGTCCATGGCATCCTTGCTGCCAGGCGACGCTCATCCGTGCTGCGCACAAAGGTCTCGCACATACTCCGGCACCAGTATAAGTGCGGCCAGACGGCAACCTCGAGGTCGACGGTCTCCATGACGCGAAGGGGCAGCCATGGCATGGGCGCCGAAGCCTCGATCTCCGCCTGGTCGATGAGGCGCTGATGATCGTGCAGGTACTGGTCGTGAGCTTGCAGAAAGTCTCTGTAAAAGCAATCCTCAGCGCTCCCAGCCCTCGTAAGCGCCAGGCTGGCCGCGGCAGGCAGCTCAACCGCTCTTCCACACTCGTTGGCTTCCAACTAAACCGTACGCAGCCTGTGTGCACCAGGTAGCCCTGTGGCGCACACTCCGTGGGTCCGGTGTACACATCGAGCAAGGCCAAGGCGTCCAAGACTGACTCAGGCGCCGGCACATCCGACGGCTGCGGAGCCCAGTACCCCACTCCTGCCTTGCAATATGAGCAAGCTCGTAAGCGAGTGCCATAATACAACTAACGGCCCACGCGGTACTCACGAAACGGCCCCCCCAGACCCCGGAAAGTACGTCGAATTGCTAATCGGCCCACAAGGGGTCCAAATTTTGAGAAGTGAAATGGGAAGGATGAGCAAGGCGCTCAAGAATTGAAGCTGGGATTTGCTGTGAGGTTGGAGGCGGGAGGTCTGGGAAGCCTTGGGAGGCCCTGGGAGGTTCTGGGAGGCCCTGGGAGGCCCTGGGAGGCCCTGAGAGGCCCTAGCGGGCCCTGAAAACTAGGACCTACCTGGAGGCCCGGAGGCGCCTAGGGTCCTGCTTTCCTGAAAGGTCCCTGAAGGCGCCTGGAGTGTGCCTGAAGGCCGCTTTCCAGGATCTGAAGGCTTTCTGAAAATCCTTCGGAGAAAAGACCTTTTCTGAGGGGAGCTGCTTCTGAAGGCTTTCTGAAAACCCTTCGGAGAGCAGACCTTTTCTGAGGGGAGCTGCTTCCGAAGGCTTTCTGAAAACCCTTCGGAGAGGAGACTTTTCTGCGGGGAGCTGCTTCCGAAGGCTTTCTGAAAACCCTTCGGAGAGGAGACCTTTTCTGAGGGGAGCTGCTTCCGAAGGCTTTCTGAAAACCCTTCGGAGAGGAGACTTTTTCTGAGGGAAGTTCGCTCACAGAAGGGCCTTAGACCCCCCCAGGATCCAGCCTGGAAAAAACCAGCCGCCCCACCCAGAACTTCGATCACCAGGTTTAGGGCCTTGACTTTATAAGGGACCAGTACTGGTCCTGAGGAGAACTCTCTCGTGGGTGCTACAGTACCCCTGGCTGTGGGAAGGCAGGCGAGCGACCTGGATCGACCTGCGCCATCGATGTCGAGGGGCATAAGCGCCGCCCACCATCGAAGGTGGGCGGCCTATGCCATGAGTTTAGGGTTTAGGGTTTAGGGTTTAGGGTTTAGGGTTTAGGGTTTGGGG